TGGTTTCTCAGAAGTGTCTTAAAATGGGGATCTAGGCCGGGAAAACTGGGTGGCCCCTTCCACCTTTGAGGGATACTCTGATAGGTTCTTTGAGCCATGTGTCACAGAGCTCTTATGGCCCTGCTGCCTGTTTTACCACAAGAGGGTGTTGGTGCATCGATTGAGAAGATGAAATGACCTGCAGGAAGTTGGCAGGCCTGACAGTGCTGCTTTTGTGTATCCAGGAGCTGGAGAATGCTGAATTCATCCCCATGCCTGACAGCCCCTTTCCTCTGAGCATGGCATCTTCGGAGCCTGAGAAGGAGACTCTTCCTTACCAGAAACTTCAAGGACTCAAAGTGGCCTCTGAGGAACCTGTTGGATTAAACAAGCCCAAAACAGAGCCCTGGGTAATGTTATAAAAGTGAATGCTTGGCTAAAAGCTCTTGGGCACCATAAATGGCAATGTTTGAATTATGGGGAGAGCTGAGAAGAGACTGTTGGATTGGCTTCATTCATCTGGACAAAGAAAAGAGGGCTGGTGATAATCATAGATGATGCTGCAAAGAGAAAAATTGCCAAGGATCTAGAACACAAAGCTGATTCTTGGTCAGATTTAAAGTAATGAGATCAGTTCTGTGGGAAAATGTGTATTATGCAATTGGAAAATACAGAGAAGCCAAGGGCTCAGAAGCCTAGCAGTAAACAGAAATTTAGAAAGCAGAATTTGTTGTGAGATAGGAAGTAGAATAGATACAGAAAATTAATGAGAAATTACAACCTGTGAGACTACCTAACTCTAGGAGTTTTCTGTCCCAAAAGGAGGCATGGATCCTATGCTTTGGGAAATGGGGGTAAACTGGATGGATTTTGGTGATAGGAAGACAGGAACAATCTTCCCAGGAAAAGGAGGAAGTTAGTGGCTTTGTACAGAAGACAGAAAGAGAAGTAGCTTGTTGACTCTGCCCACTAGAAGTTTGGCAACTCAGGGAATAAGCTGGGGTAACACTCTGGGCGTATTTTTTTCTTGTATATACAACTCCTGGCCTTGCTCAACCTGGCCTGACTTCCATGCCTCTGCAGCCTGCTTGCCTGAGTCCAACCTTACCGTGTGGTGAAGGGAAGGATGCGTCTCCTGGTGCAGGCTGCGTGTGCAGTGCTCTGCAAGTGGAGGTGTCGCACCTCCGAGGCCTGGTTTTACAGTGTCTGGATGATCAGAAGAAGCTGCAGCAGGAAACCATTCGTCTGAGTGCCCAACTCCAGCGGTTCTGCAGGAGGATGGAGGAAATGCAGCAGGTGAGAATCCGTCATCTGGGTGCACATCCATGCTCAGGGCTCACCATGCTCCTGCAGATTGTGGAGGCTGTGCACAAGGAAGCAGCTCTTAACAGCCATCTCTATCAGAGCAGAATTTGGTGGGACTAAGAAAGATGCCTGTTTCTTGTATAAGCTGCTGATGCAGGCTCTGACAGTAGCAAAACAGGAATGAAGCCAAGAAGTTTCCTCTGAGGACAGCCCACTCTTTGAGGGATGTGGGATTTACCTTTATTTCACCTGATGACAAGGGATGGGGAGTCAGATGTTGTGAAGAGTCACAGATGGCTGTGGAGAATACAAACTGGGCCTTGTGCAGCTTCTAGCTTTTCTGGCACTGTTTGGGTAACTGCTGTATATTTTGACAGGTGAAGGTTCATTCCAAAGGAACACAAACAACCAAAGAGGAGATGGAAGTGGATCCGAAACCTGATGTGGATTCAGATTCCTGGTGTCTCCTGGGAACGGACTCGTGCCGCTCCAACCTCTAGTCTCCTGAGCCCACTGGGATCCATCTAACTTCACAGCACACTAACCGAATGCAGAGAGCGGCTTTTCTGGCGTCAGGTCACTCGCAGACAAGGAGCGAGGCCGGAGGCTCCAGAGCAGCACCCATGTACGTTTGATATGAACTAGGAGTGAGTTTGAGAGGGGGAGGGCCCTTGAGCTCTAGGCCAGCTCAGTGATTGAAACAGCAGCAGCTCCTCTTTGTACCTTATCTGTCAATTCTGCACGTGAGGCAGAACGGCCCCATTATGGCGATGGCTCCAGCAGCAGCTTGTGGCCCTTTCATTGTTTCACTGTTTCCTGGGAGCTGCCTTTGGGACCCAGTATTCATCACTGCATCTCTAGATGAGAGGAGGAAACATGTTTTGTACTGAAGCTGGCTGAACCCTAAGACTCGCCACCTTCACTTCAGAGGGCTGAAGGACTAGGATCCTCTCCTTACCACAGGGTAAGGCCCCGCCGGTGAGGCTGCTTCCCTCTGCTCAGGCACAGAGGGACCAGCAAATGTATCATTCTGGAGGCAGTGGAGATGTTCCCCTTAGGGAGATTATAGTAGACAGCGTGTCCCTGGCCTTGAGGCATAGCTTCTGGCCATATGGCTGTGTCCACTGGTCTGTATAGACAGAGTTTGAAGGCTTTATTCTGGGTGCCGAGGGCTTTCCAACTTCCAGGCAATGCACCAAGATGAGTAAATCAGGTGTTTCCTGTAGCAGTAGTGGGGACTGTCTGAGATTGGATCTGTAGTTCTTGATTCCAGAGCACCTGCCTCCCAACCAGATGCCCAGCATCTGGGCCTCAGATTAAGTTACCCATTTCTTTCTCCAGCTGTTCAACTTGGTTTGGGTGCCAGAGTTTCTGGTTTCTTGGCATAAGCCTGTAGCTGCTCCTTGCTTGGCTTCTGTTCTCCCCAGTCCCTGTGCCTACACTGTGTGTGGGTGTGGGAAAAATCCGTGTTTTTCCACTCAGTGTTCTGATGAAGCTGGAATGCCATTTCCTACCCAGAATAGGTCACTACTGCTGTGGTCACAGGATGTAGCCTTCCCCAAAGACCACGAATGATCAAGTCTCAGTCCGGAATTCACCTTCTTTCAAGAAGTGAGACGCTTTCCCAAGAAAATTGGAGATGGGAAGAGGCATGGTCTGATGCTCAAGATTTACTCATTTTCTGTTAGAGAATGAGGTTAATTTTATTCCCCTTAAATTTATTAGCAAACTGACTTTGAAGAAAAGCTTATGGGATTGGTAGGATGCCTGGGAGCAGCTAGCCTCCCGTGCCTTACGTGGCACCTCCAAGGAGTCCTAACTTCTCTCACCTTTGCTGTTAGAATGGGGTTGTGATTTCATGAGGCTTAAATGATCCCCATCAATGGCATGTTACTAGAATTGCCTTAGGTCTGCTGGAGGTGGATGTTGTATCACCTCTGACAGACTTCTTTTGAGAGACTGTCTGGGGAATCCAGCATTCCCCATTTGTCTCTAGAGGTGGATGCCAAACCATTTGCTCATAACGTAATGCTCCTTAAATACTTCTTTGGTGCCTATTGCTAGTATCTGGGAGCTGAATCAAGTGCTGTTTTCCCAATGCAGTGTCCAGGGCAAGGATCATTCCAGTGTGCCTGTCCACTGCTACCAAAAGCAAGGCAGGAGGAGAGCCCTCCTGGCAGGTGGTGAGAATCAGGTGCCCTGGTACAGCCAGGCTTGTTTGCCCTTGTGACTCTGCTCTCCTTTCCCCCACGTGCGTTGGAGCCAGTTCTCAGGTCGGGGTCCCAGCTTGAGGGTCGTTGGTTGCATGCAGCAGTGCCTTTGAGGACTGAAAAGTTGAGCCTGAGCCATGTCCAAGAAGCAAGCACCAAGCTGATGAGAGTCGCTCTCCTGCAGTGCACTGCTATCCTCATTTCTCAATGCTCTGCAGTTGGGAAGCTAGGTGCACAGACTGGATTCCCCTTGGATCTAGTGGAGGATTAGGGCTCCTGACAGAGGATGCCCTGTGCTTCACAATCTCATATGTGCCTTAGAGGATTCACGCTATCCAGGTTGTGCCTGTTACAGACCACAGATTTCACACCAGCCAGCTATGCAACAAAAAAAAGCAGTTTAAAGGTAGCACCTTTGTCTTGGGCTGAAAACAGAAAGGCAGGCAGGCTGAAGTGCCTTTGAGCAGTTTCAAACCCTTTTTACTTCTCCCCTTCTCGCAGTGCTAGCTCCATATATGTTGGTCTCCTGCTAGTATTGCTACTGAGTTGTAGAGGAACACAACTTATGCCTGCTCTGACACTCTGGCCGAAAACTAGTTTGTCGTTGTCTTTCTTTGAAAGGTTAAAGGGTGGAGTGGTTTGGAATTTCTGTTTAAATAAATGTTTAAACTCATACTCCTGTGTTTGAACTCTTTTTCTTGTCTTTCCTTTCCAAGAGAGGAAAGGGAAATATGCATACAGTCATCTGGTTTTGTGGCATTCTGTTTTTGATTATTTTGCTTATAGAAAGAGGGTGAAAGGCCTCTTAGGTTCTTTGCTCTGTTTAAAAAAAAAAGTCAGTTTCTGTGTCCCTTCATTAAAAGAAACCACCACCAACCAAACAAAAACCCCATTATTTTCTCATACTGCTACATCTCCTTCTAGTGACGTCAGGAGCTTTTGTGTGTGTGTGTGTGTTTATTTCCACAGTTTGAGTGCCAAGTGGGGAAATGAGTAACAGGAAGAGAGGCTTAAAGGGAAGAAGTACCTGTTTCTCTCAGAATATCTTCACTGATCATTAAGGCCTACAGAAGGGAGAACCTGCTTGACACCTGCTCAGCCAACTGTTCCTGCACACTGTACTTAAAAGCCTGTCACTTTTATCAGAAGTTTTATTAAATTGTGAAATATCTTGACAGGCAGAGCAGGGTTAAAGACTTAAAATTCACTAGAGATTTGGATGCTGAAAATACAGCATGTCTTTGAGATTATGCTGCAGGAGCAAAAGAGGAAGCTGAGCTGGCATGAATAACACAGCTTAAGTAGTGTCAGGGTAACTAACCATGATAGCAAAGCAGCACCTTAAATCTCTGTGCTGAACCTTATACTTTGTCTAACATTACTTAATGTTAGTTAAAACTTGCTAAGTTTTAAACCAGTTATCAGAGACTTTCTGGATACTGAAACAATAGCAAAGAGGGGTGAAGTGCCCAGTTAGCTACAAAACAAGTAACAAATGAAGCCTAGTGATTTAATAACTTTTGTTTAATCTACAGTTTCAGTCTTCTCAATCTCAGTGTTAGCCATTTGCCTGTCAGTGAGAAGTCCCCCATACACGGGTTTATTTTACAACATCGAATCCTTTTCTGTGTGTATCCACATGTCAGCATTTACACTGCTGACCTTTGGGGTCCACTAAATATTGTCAATAAAACATAGTGCAAGGGAAGCAGAGTTAATATAGAAGACAGGCAGTGGTGCTGAATTTTTAAACCAGTGTGTTCAAATCACTTACACCTTTCATGAATTCAAGGAGGCTGGCATAAAGGTTTCAGTTTACCCCTTTCCAGGAATTAGGTAATTCCTACCTTTTGACACCTCTTGCTATCTTCTTTTTCAAAACCCTGAAGTTAAAGCATTGGTCTTGCTTCTCCAATCAGTTCGGACACAGAAAACTATTTTCCCTTCTTTTGAGTCTGCTTTTTCTCTCAGGTTTGTACACATATCATTGGCTGGCACAGTGCAGCAGTGATCCTTTCTGGGACCTTCATGCTTTTCCAGGGTGTGCCAAAGAATTGAGATTTCTTCTCATGCATCTATAGGACAGAAGCTTTCCAACCTCTTTCAGGAGTCAGCTTCACTCACTGAAGGCTGGAGTATTTCATCATATTCAACTTCTGACTATTCCAGCTTAATCTAGTTGCTTTACATCTTTCCCTAGGTTCCCATGAGCTGCTGCTATTGCTACTGGAGAACTTGCAAAAGGAGCTGCTGGAGTTTTTTTATTCCTTGTTTGCTTGCAACTTTCATACAAAGTAGTCATTCTTACTGTGAGAACACAGACCACTCTATGACCATTTAAAATAACTTTTACACAAGAGAACTAGTTTAATATATTTAATAATCAGAATCTAGAAAAATAACATCTTGAGAAGAAAAGAAGGGATATGTTTTTGTCATATTTCCCTACCACTGCAGTAACCAAAATGAATATAAGCAGATGACTTAAGGATGCTTGAGCTAGCTTTTTTTTTTTTGGGGGGGGGGTTCCTAGCAACTTGGCCTGCAGGAAAACTCCATTTTTTAAAATATCAAATCTGATTGTGATAGTTGTTCTGTTGCCTCAAGGGCCTGGGTGATTCAGAGTATCACTGTTCCATGCACATGAACTGACAGAAGGAGTCAGACAGTAAGCACCTGCTATTGCTAGCTTTTCTAACCCATGGAATTTCTGATCCTGAGCTTCTTGTGCTGAGGAAAAGTTCCAAGTCAAAGTATACAATTTCTGTTATTCAGCTTATTCATCCTGAGCTGTTCACTTGCTGTGCATAGAAGCTTGCAGCCAGTGTTGAGATTGCCAAAACCAGAAATGTCTATAGCTGTGAGTCTGGCGAAAAACAGGCAGGGAATCCCAGCAACAGGTACAGCTGGGCACTGACTTATCTTATAAGAATACTGTGTCTCTTCTGTGGTGGAGGTGGGGGCCTATTCTTTATATTTTTGCATTTGGGAATATGTCTCTCAGCTGCTCGGGGAGAAAACTTGCGTCCGCAGTAGGTGCAGGCAACATAGTCTGGATTTTCAATGGGAGGCAATGGGGGCAGGTCAGACACCTTCCTCCCCTTAGCGAGGATTTGCTGCACCTGGCGGGCCTGTGACATGATGTGGACGAGAGCCTCGTGCTTCTGTTTCCAGTTGTTCTTTCTGGGTGGTGTTTTACTCTGTGGAAGGGAAAGGCAGTCAGGCCAGCTGGGACCACCATCAGCCTCCATTCTTAAACTTACACTCAGAGCCCAACCCATGTCACCTGTCCCTGTGCATTCCCTGTTGATGTAAAACCCAGCCTGAGAAGCTGAGTCCCACAAAGGGAATCAGAAAGACCAGCACAAAGGAGGATGTAAAGGAAACACTGTCAGAAGCATCAGTGTTTAGAAAACAAAGAGCTTGAGGATAACCAGGAAAGCAAGCAGTAGGGCCAAGGAACCAGAGAGGGTTGCTACATCTGCTCTGCAGGAACAGAGCTGCATGTTTCCACTGCCTTCATTTTAACAGACTGTTATTATCTGGATTTTTAGTCAGCTCCCTGCAGCCCCTGATGTCACAGAGCTTTACTGCAGCAGAACCAGTCTGCATCCTAGCTATACCAAGGAAGTGAGTTTTCTCCAGCAGTACACCCCTGACACATTATAAAGCCAAGTCAGGACTCCTGCCTCTGTCTATGAGAATTGAAATGAATCTGTTTTATCCATTTGGCAAGAACCTTTCAGAAGCAATAGCTGTATTGTATCCCTTAGCCCCATGTACGTGGGAAGGTGCTTGCGTCTCAGTCAGATGTTGAAGTGGAAGGAATGTGAACAGTAGATGTGGATCCAGGGAGGTGAAGGGACTGCACATTACCTGAGGACTCCTTGAGCTTGTGCACTGCTGATACTGTTCCAGTTCTGTTCCCCTAGCTCTGGCCTTTCTGGAATCAAACACTTTCCTCTTGGAGTCTTGGTTCTTGCCACAGACACTCATATGTTTCTCAAGCCTTGTGCAGAGAAACTTGCGTTTGCAGAAGCTGCACTGTCCAAACTCCTCCTGCTCCACAGCACTGGCAGCCTGCATGTATAGCACCTCTGCAGATGGGTGGTCATCAGAATCTTGGTCTGAGAAGGCAGAGAGAGAAAGGCTATGTTTTGGGGCCAGCTTTGAACAAGAAGCTGAATGCTCTGTGGGTTTGCTGTCTCGTATTTTGCTGTTGTTTGTTTTGTTGTATTTTGCGGCCACCACCCACTCCTCGAGTTTCCCCACAGCCAGCTCTTGGGGGTGGAGATTGGTGTCGGGCTTAGGGACAGTGAACTTTGCCCCACCGAAGACGTCAACATCTGGCCTCTCTGCAGCTCTGAAAGTTTTCTCTTCAGGGTGCCTTGTGGCCTTTTGCTCATTGGTCCTCTCCACTTCACTTTCTGTTCTCTCCTCTACCTTGGTAAGCTCTTTCTCTTTTTGAACCCTCCTAAGCGTCTCCTCTGTCCTCTTTAGCTTCTCTCCAAGAAGGGCCTTTTTCTTTTGAATTGCCTCTTCTAGGTTCCTTCCATCTGCCTCCAGCTTTAGGATGTGGGCCGGCTCTGTCCTGTACAGATAGGGAGCGGATGGTTCAGGCTCTCCTGCCCAAGGGCAGAGCACTGCAGCTAACTGAGACATCCTTGCTGGAACCATCCCTTTGCTTAATGAGCTTGATCTAGTATTTGGAGCTTCCTGCACGTATGGGGAACTTCCAGTGTTGAGTAGTGGAGTTCTTGCCCTCTGGTGGTGAGAAATTGGTTGCAGGGGATATGCACGGTCCACTCCTTCTTTTTGTCTGCCTAATGATTTAGCTGACTGAGTACAGACCTGGCTGATGAGATACTTGCTCTCTAGTCCACCTGACCAGAAGCCTCCATGCTTGGGCCTGTCTTGAATGCTTTCTGCAGACATAGAATGGGAGTATCTTTGGTTCTTTTGTGCATAGAGATATTTTAAACTTTCCTCTTTGTCAAGTATGAATCCATGCTGAAAGCTGTTCTTCTGGTGTTTCAGCTGGGAATCAGGAGAAAACTTAGTAGCTGCCACCACAGGAGCCATCGGTGGACAAAAAGCCATTCAGTGCCTGAGAAAGAGCCTGAGGTTAGAAGCAAAGCCATTACAGACAATTTTATCCAAAACTGGACAAATCTTCTAACAGTTTATGCATGGAGGCTGTAGACAAAGGTTATAATAAGTATTAACTAACTTTTCTGCTTTCTATAAATCTTTACATTCCTTTCATCTAGGGAGCTGCTATGCTGCCTCTTCTAGTCACAGCCGTTTATACAGCCAGAAACAAGACACACTTTCATTTCTCTTTCTGTATGAGCCCTGCCTTATCATGGTAGCAGCAGAAATATACTGCAATGACAGAGGAATTGTTATACTCCCCGGGCAGTTTCCCATAACGTGTCCCTTCAGTTCTGGCAATGAGATCCACCACTGTGTCACACAGATCTGACGTGCAGGAGTCCGACCAAGCTCGGCACAATCTTCCTGCGGCTCGTTCCACCACATCCCCCGGGCTGTGTCGGGTGTTCACGCCGCGGGGCGGGCGGGGTTACCTGCGGGGCTGCGCCCGGCGCTTCGCCGGCCTCCCTCCTCGGCAAGCTGCGTCGCCACAGGCTGCGCTTATGGCCCGAGAGACCCGACCGCTCCTGCCGCTGCCGCTGCCGCTGCCCGCGGCTGCCG